CCGCCCCAAAGTTTTTCGAGGCCGGGGGGGATTTGATGCAGGGGCCCCTCAACCATCATAACTCGATATGAAAAAAAATATTGTCACCGAGATTCGCAAGACCAAACAAGGTCATTCAAATGCATGACATGTAGGTGTTAATGTAACTTGAAGTCTCCACATAAGGTATTAAATTAAAACACTCTGGAAGCTATATAAGTTGCTCGCACTAAAGTATTAACTAAACAGTTATTAACAGTAAACTTTAAACAACGAAAAAGTAATAACAAAAATATTGAATATACAAAATTGGTTGATGTTTATTGGGTAGCAATAACTAGGTAATAAATAATAGCTAATAAGTGTCAAGTAATAACTAGGGCTCTGATTTATATGTATTTATATAAACAAAGTATGTATTTATACAACAAAACTATGTATACACAAATATGTGCTAAAAAGTTCGAAGTATGTATACCTATCAAAAAAAAAATAATAATAATAATAATAACAATAAATAGTATAATAAAAAAAAATGATTGTTTATCTGGAGATACTGGAGATTGTAATTTAGATCAACATATATTTTTCAATTTTAAAATTCAAAAGACCCCCGATTCTATCGTAAAATTGCTTTATTTACACTTTTAGCCACGTCAAAAATACGTCCGGTTGACAGTTCGACACCATCGAACCGACGATTCCGTGCTACACATATACCTACTATTAAGTTTTGGCTTAGTTTATGATAAGCTTTCAATCACTCAAGACCTCTGAAGAAAACACGTTAAAACTGTCAAATATTCTAAATATTTGAGAAAAAAAATGAATAATTATGAAATATGTAAAAACATGTATTTATGTCAAAATATGTAAAATCAAATAAGTACACCTCATTTTATGCAGAGCTATACGATTTTATATGTATATCTCAATTAAATTATTATTAATGTGCACGAATTAAGAAATCTTAATTTGTGATTCTGTGAACTGTGTTATAGGTCCGTAGAGTAAAATTAGAAGGCTCGGATGCATAATCGGATATAATGAATAAAGTTGTGTTATACACTAGTGGCTTTGGATGTTTTTTTATGAAGGTATATTTATTGGTTTGTTTTGTATGTGTATATTCATCTTTTGGAGCAGCTGCTATAACTTTCAACTTTAATGGTAGTTTCTGATATCAAATCGTTAATAATTGTTTAAATTTTAATAGCTTAAAAACTCGAAAGTTAAGATTCTCATAAAAATTTTCTTAGACTTCTCAGAGTATTCTTTATGTACCTTTTTTTTTCCGGATAGAACTGACAGCAAAGGAGGGTCTGTCTGCACAATGCTACTCCTCTGCTGCCATCGTTTATTAATGAATAACATTAAAGACATTTAAACACAATACTGTACAAACGAATAATCACATAGCGCAATTCTTTATGTATCTAATAATAATAAATAGGCACATTCATTTTTTATATATATAACTATGTTTGATATTCTAATGTAAAATTTGGACAAAATTGGATATATATAAACGAAAAAAACAATTGAGTATAGGTAGTTGATTAAGAAAAAAAAATAGTTGTAAGGACTTGGGAATTTCCATTATTATTACGTCTCCGCTCAGAATCGCTTTTTGAGTACAACGACTTTTCATTTAATTGAAATCTATCACATCCATCACAGATTACAGTACCCTGCTCAGTGACAAGATGCACACAAAACCTACTCTGAGTGCGACTTCTTCTGTTTTTTTTTTTATATTACATCGATTTGGTAACTTTTACATACAATTTAACAATTAAGTAACAACGTTATCTGTATTTTTTTTCATTTTTTATTAAATTTATTTCAACATTTTTTGATGTACATACTACATAGAATTTTTTTAATGTAATATTTAAAACTCATATTTATAAATAGCTCCATGCTCGTCAATTATTAATTTTGTATTGTTAGTTTTAAATTTTTAAATATTACAAACAATTTATCGATTAACAAATATCAAAGTAAGAATATTAACTATTTTAATTTTATAGCAAATTATAATAGTATGTACACTGTACAGTATAAATATTTAAAAATGCTGATGACTGTCACTTTAAAATTCAAATAAAGAAAATACACAAATAATATGCTTACCTTGAAATTTGATTATAGATAAATTTACTGTAATATTACAACTAACAATACATTTTATAGATAAATGGATTTTTCCGAATGTAAATGTACAATGTTGTACGTTTGTTAGACGGATACAACACCATCAAGTTGTTAGACGGAGATAACACATAAAGTCCTCTTAATGAGTCATCCTACTAATGAACTATCATATTGTATTTTACATTTGTGTACAAATTATAAGTGATATATGTTATTTTTAAATTAATTTAAATGTAAACACTCATTTTCTTGAAAAGTATTAAGTAGGCAATTATTAACGTTTATGGGATTATTTTTTTTTATATAATTTGAAGTAAATACTAATTACTCACTGAATACTATAATTGAAAAAGCCTGTGTCAAATATAAATACTTAATAAAATTATGAATAGTAGGCAATATTAAATGTACGCACTATTGAACTAATATCTAATATTACATCGGGAATATATTGTACATTGTCCGCTGTGCGTCAGTCAATTTCTAAGTTTCGATAAAATATATATAACGACCAGCACGTCGATACCTATCCAATGTTCATTCCCCTCACCTTTCGTTAATGATGTACGTAAGTTTTCAAAGATTTTTCCATTGATTATAAATACTTATAATACTAAATAGTAGTATTTATTATCAATGCTTATATAAATATGCCCTTCTTCTAAATCCTAATAGGTACTATATTTTATTATTTTAAATGGCAATATATACCTTTCAATTTGTATTAGAAGCTATGAGATATAATGGTAAATGTTATGATATGTACCCGTATTGTATATATTATGAAGTGGTTCAATAAATTATACAGGTGCAATATATAATAAGTAATAACTAACATAAGTACCCATTATATAGATATAATTGCACTTTACTAAAATTGTTTTCCTTTATATATGTTGTTCTGCAATATACCTAAGTACAGCCGAGTCATGACTCGAAGTTTTTTCTTGCCTCCGAAGTATAGATAAGTATTATATTTGACGTATTCAGCTCGAAAAACGCTAAGTTGAATTAATTTGTATCCTTCTTGGCTCTTGAGATTCGAGTTATCGAGATTTGACTGCATCTTAGTTATAAGATACTTCATATAGATTATGTAGATTTTGTAATTTTATTTAAATTTATCGCTATAATTATTAATATTATATGAATAATAATAGGTATCGATAAATATTTTAACACAAAAAAAATTTTAGTTATGATATTTGATTAATATATTAGCTTTAGTATTTCTGTAGACTATAGGTAATTTATAAATGAATACCTATATTTATTAATATAATAGCATGAATCGCTTCAATAACCAAATATCAAGTAAGTAAGTTATTTACAAGCAACTGTACCAACTGTAGGTAATAGATCTTATTATTGATCATGAGCCATGACTATTAATGATGTACTTATGTGTCTAGTTTATATATTAGTTAAAAATCCATCAATAAATTACTTATTTGCTCATCAGATTTAGTTTAAATATAAGGCTAAAAATTTAAAAAAAATTTTCAGTCGTATTTCTATGATAGAATGAATCAAAACTTTAAATTATTTTAGTTTTTTGGTTTAATAATAATTAACTTTTTACACTATTTTAAATGTCGTATTTTGTTTTATTTTTAGATTCGTTCGTTATCTTAAAGGAGAAATAACTTTTACTACAACTTACTGAGGAAGTTTGCTTATAGAAGTTAATATGACAATTGACAAACATACCCAGGGACCAAAAATATCAAAGCTATCACCTGAACTTAATCATAAATATTCTTAACTCGAATACTCCGTTTAACAATATGTATACCTTACTATAAATATTATTTGTATTCTTATATATTTTTTGATTGGAGTATTTAAAATTATTTTTATCAAAATGATGATGTTTTCAAATTTATATTTTTTACTCTCATCTTACTGACATCAGTCTTTTTGTGACCATATTGTAGACACACACTGGTCACATTCATACATTTAAATGTATTTTAGCTATTTCGGAGAAAGAATAATATAAATATATAATTTCAATACTATACAGTATGTATACTTATTACTTGCTATATTACGCTTCAACGCTGATTATAATGCAAATGTTTAACACAAAAGTATATAAAAATTGTGTTGAGCACTTGAACAGTTAAAGATGAAGTGAGTGTGAAAGACTAGACACACTGAAATACAAAATGGTTTTCAGTTCCCATGTCGAGTCATTTTGTTACGCCTCGATTAATGACCCGAAAGAATTTTGATAAAATACACACTCGAATACTCGATGATTAGATCTAATTACTTAAGACTTTTCACTGAGGGTTAATGGCTATCATTATGAAAATTGTTAATCGGAATGTGTGACTAGCTGTTTATAAAAATGTGGACACTGGACAGTGGCATGTGGCAGTGCGGAAGTGCATTAGTTTCAAAAAATTAAATTGTATATATAATCTTGTTTTCATTAAATAAATACTATTTGATTGAAAATGTGCAAAAAAGCTTAAAAAAGAAACAAAAAAAAAAAAAATCAAAAATCAATCCAAATATGTCTCAAAAAAATCTAAATATCGTTATATATGCAACATAAAATTACATATTTGACTTTGTCGTAATATGAAAAAAATTGTTTCTAGTTGTCCATTTTTTACATAAAACAAATACACACAAATGCTAGAAGCCCTCTGCAGTCTGCATTTATTATTATTTTTGATGTAATACTTTCATTTCACACTTGCTTAAATATTTTTCAAACAATCTAAGGTATAATATATATGTTTTATGTAGTAGTCAGTACTCAGTAGTGTATAGGGTAGCATGTCCGCATTTAGAAAATTGCCGTCATATTGTTATAGGAGCAACTAACTATTTGTCGCACCTAAACAAACAATTTTACTTAAATTCAAAGCTGTATGAAAATTCAATCATTTCATTCTATTTGATTGACTTAACGGGCTTCACGTAAATCAACACTTTTATGAATGGAGATTTTTTTCCTTTAATTTATATTTCATAAACAAAAACAAATAATGAAAAAACAAAAATTGTAAAATGACAAAAAAAAACATTGGTTCATGTTTGTTAAGTTACTGGTCTTTCATGAAATTATCTTCATATCCTTTCTTAAGCTGTTCCATGAAAATAAATAACAAGATTGTCCCTGGTGCCACTCGTAAATAATAAAAAGGCCAACCTTTCCACAAAGCTGTAATTCCCTCGGTCTTCAGCAAAATCGACGCCACTTCTATTATGCCCGAGTATTCTGGTTTTCCATCTACAATTTTCTGTTGTTGTATTCTATGAATATGATGTAATGCCAATATATATATATTAATAATACATAGATATATAAACCTTTACAGTTATAAGCAGTATCAGAGGCCAGAGGGGCCATTAGCTGTGCTATATAAATTAAATATAAATATGACTTGTGAGTTGTGACATATAATTTATATAATACTAATATTTTTAAACTTGTATGCTTATATGTATGAACAATTACCTTTCATACTAATTGATATTATAAAAAATGTTTATATACCTGGGCTCGTGACTTGTGATTCTAAAAAAAGTCATTATAAGTGTAATAACATTCACTTAAAATTGTTCATTTAAATGCTGAAAATGCACTGAAAATGCAAAAATATACAGAAAAATGTATTGGACAAGAAAAAACAAACTAGAACAATATATTTTAAATTAAATTCGAGAATGACTGAAAATATAAATATGACGTGTAATAAATTCAGTAGGTAGTTATCTTGAATATCACGAAACAAGATAGCACTTGTAATATAATATATAGAGGCCTCCTTATCGGCGGAATTTCTAATGACTAAACTGCAACTCATCAATCCATGCTTATGTGACAAATTATTATGTAAATATAAATTGATGAAACTGATTAACATGCTCTGACGAAAAAATAAATCCATTATTTTACTTTAAAAAGACAGTATAAGCATAAAATAGTGCTAAAACATATAAATAATAAAATAGCATAAGAACTAAGGAATATTTTGAAGTATGCAAATGTTACAAGTCACGAAAGACTACTCACTAATCAGATATAAAAGTGTTTTTTATGTATTTAATGTTTTTAAGTATTTTTAAAAATGGTGCACTCCCAAAATAAAAAAATTCTAGATTCCTCTCTAGTTGTACTTTTGTAAGATATTACCTAGTCTTTAATACGTCCATTGGATTCGAGCAGACGGAATATACAATCCCAGAAATCATGCTTGCTACGGTGTGGAGCTTCAAACCGTTTTCCATATTATCTAGAACCGTTTTCAAAGTAAATATACATATTAAAATATTTTTGCATTACCAGTGCTCATAAAAGTTAGTTAATGCCAAATCATCACATGTGTAATATTCAATTTTGGCTTTTTGGCTTTATATGTGATATTATATGCTTAAACCACTGGTGTGAGGGTAACTAGCGATCTTACAATTATCCATCATATACACTTTAGCCTCGTCATACGACATCAGCTGCGTCAGATTGGCTGTCATCGCCCTAAGCATGGTTGCCACCGTCCCTCGCCACAGCCCTGATATGCCTTCATCCTTCCTTATTTTTATCAGTGCGTCGAACGCGTTTTTGTAGTTGCGACGGCTCTCCACTGGCAATCGTCCGTCGGCTGTCATGCGGACCACAGCAATCTGTGATCATTTCAAACGGGTTTCAAATGATTAACGACTAAAGGACGCCCACAGAGCATTAGCTCACTGGGTGTAAAATATTTTTGGTTTCAATATAATCCCCACACTCCCTTAACACTACATTGATATGAAATCTTACATGACAAATCATAACTTATTTTAGTTAATTAAAATACACCGGTCACTGATTTATACCATCGGCGCGGGTAGGTATAAATTCTCTTCCGGGCGTATCTGCAACGATTAACTACATACGTTGTATCCTACAAAACGGCGCTCAATATTACCGATGGTTATAAATCACCGAATAATAATATTCACCATGATATAAACAACATATTATAGTATGATCGTCAAGGTCTAGAGCGTCAATCGGTTATCCATATTATTGTCATCCAAAAATGCTATAACTATTACACGCTATACGCTACGTCACGCATTCACGTGCCTATTTTCAAGTCCTGACCGTCTAAAAGTTTCGATCATACCTTGTTGTTTATATCGTGATATCCGCATTGGATAATCAATAATTACGTCAGTCGGTGTGGAAATGAACGCAGCGAATGCTCCGGTGGACATGCTGGCTATTGCGTTATTTATCACGGTGCTTTGCCCTCGTCTGAAACACATAACATATCGATAAAATAATTATCTTAATATTATGTATCAGTATCACTCGATTTCTAATGTCAGTGATACATGACGAGATTATCAATTATCATACTGCTATACTGATGCTGTGATTTTATATCCCTCCCCCCCCCCTGTGAAAAATCCTATGGACACGCTATATTGATGCTATGAATATTGAATATGTATATGATTATTGATTACATAGAACGATTTACACGTTCGTTTTACGATTTTACATTTGAGACTTAGTCAGTGTAAATTACAATATACTCGTGTAATAAACTTATAATGTGATATACATATATTTACAGCTATTACGTCAAAACTAAATTAAAAGTAATTACATTTAAAACAAATTATTCAACACGCAAATCTCAATAACGTCACCGTACCTACATAACTAAATAGATGCAATTCCGTCATTATGTGAAAATATCACATTGTCACGTACACACGTTCACGCAAGATTATTACTATTATTCGTGAGACTTGTACACGGTCTTCTTGTTCATACTTAAACGGGTAATATTTATATATTATTATAATGTATAGTAGAACTAAAAGTCATAATGTATATAAATATATTACGCGTGTCGTGTGTAAATGTATTTAATTTTCGAGCACCCGCAATTCCATTTAAACTTAAAACGAAGCAAAATATATTTTTAACTTGTCGGAATTTGCGTACGGGACGCATTCGTAAATGTACACGTACACTTTACGTTTGTATAATATTAACCTTAACCAGCTATCCTGCCCAGCAGTTCTGACGTCTACATTTGTTATAAAAAAATACATAATTTCCAATATTCCTACTAATTAAAATAGTTATATAATATGTAACTAACGTCAACCATTTAAATAAACAAAAATATTCCTTTTTCGTGAGCAGTAAATAAATGAACGTGTTAGCTTTAGGTACATATATATATTGAAAAGATAAGCTATAGATACCCTCCAAGCCACTAGGAATCTATTGATATAACGCTTATTTAAAACGACCCAGTAGTTTTTAAGTCTATATTAATTACAAACAGACAGACAGACTGATATCCATTTGTTATATACTTATATATTATACAGACCCGTAATCGATATTAGCTCACTTTTTCAATTCATCAACGAGTGATGTATAGCAGCCCACCCGAGTTGACGTAAATACTACTTGTCTTACAAAGTTTGCAGTAATGCCTTTATAAAAACCCGAAAGTTTTTCTGTTTTTGCCATGTTTATTATTGCATGAATTGAGTTCTTGTGATCTGAAGTCGCGCCCTTTTCTCCACTTAGTTGCATACGAAATTTCAGCACTTCTAATGGATGTACGAACACCGCAGCTCCCATCCTAATGCAAACCATGGTTATACAATTGTTTTCAATTAATGGCAGAAAACAGATAACATTAATTAGTTGAAATTCAGCTTTTATATTTTATTTTTACCCTGACAATCCAGCAATTGTAAAGTTCACGTAAAATGGCAGAACTTTTTTCTTCTGTTCGTTCGACATGTTGTTTTAGTACCGGACTAGTTATTATTCGTTCATGAAATTACGATAACTAATTTTAGAAAATAAATTATATGTGTACGTGGTAGAATACAAAACAATTTGTCTTTATGCTTAACAACAGATAAACAGTTAGGTACACCGTTCGTATAATATTAAAATTATTTAAGCTAAGATTAAGATAATTGTTCGAAACGCTTAAAGTTTTGTTTTGCCACGAAAATACAATAACCGGATACCGTACTTTGTGGAGTATTTATAATAAGGCACCAATTAGGTATATGTATGCTTAATAATGGTAATCAATAAAATGTATGGAACACTGTGTCAAATATTACATGTTTATTAATATGTACTTTATTTTTTATCAAATTTTTTTTTAATTTAATTTAATAATAAAACATAACGCAGTTATAATATGTCAATTGTAAATAATAACGATATACTTGTGTTTGTGTTTAAAACACAAACACAATAACCTTCAATTGCCAATTTATACAGAATTCAAATTGTTGGTACAATAGTTTAATCTTTAATATACCTACACTTCATTATTTTCATATGTAAATATTATAATAGTATATTGTATATATTATGTTTTCACATGCTAATAGTGTATATGTATTATTGTATTAACTATAAAGTATATAATTTGTATACCTATAGGTAAATGTACATGTATACACCGAACATATATACACAATACATAGTAAACACGTGCAAGGGCGTTATCAAAAATTATTCAAACTAACAGAAAACAACTAAAATAATTTGGTATTCACTTGGCTCGTTTATTTAGCACTTACTATACAGGGTAATTCACCAAACATGTTCTCTAGGAGTAAAATTTTTCCTTTAATAATGAATATATTCAAATTCTGATTTTTGGAATTTTTAAATATACTTGTAGACCATGTATTGAAATTCTTGAAATTTTTTGTTATACTTACGGAGTGTCTTGTGGAGATACAGACTTTTATTTTTCAAATGATAGCATCTCTCCCTTTTTGTAAATTACTTAGTGGATAATTGTTTCAAAAATGTTGACGTATAAAATAAAAAATTCGTGAGTAGTTTTTCAGTTATCAAAATGTTTATTCTAAGGATAATAACCCTTAAAAGGTTTTTACAAAAATATAAAATACAATATTTGATCTAGTATTCTAATAATTATTACTTTTAAAATCACAATAGTCATAGCATAGTCACATATGCATCCCATTTATAGTTTGGCTGTCATTCGAAAAATAAGTCTATATTTCTACAGGACACTCCTTAGCAGTAAAACATTTTTAAGGATTTGAAAATAATAAAGCCTTAAAGTATATACAATAAAATCAGATTTTGAATTACTGTATTATAATGGAGAAGAAAAGGGAGATGTGCATGCTTGGCGAATCATCCTGTATATATATCAGTCGTAGTTACGCTGCCCATAGAAGTCTCTAACAGTTATCACCGTCTGTAAAGCTTTGTTAAGTTTAACACATAGGTACTTTAATAATACATGAAAAATATTCATATATTTATTAAGTCATAAATCGTAATATTTAATAGTATATTATATTATTATTATTAAGTATATGACCACGGGCTCGGGTTTTTATGTATAAATGCATATGGTTATACTGTGACTTGATAAATTTAATTGGGCAAGTGATAATTTCGTTTCAAATGATTTGTAATAAAATGAGCCATACATAATTTTACACATTTAGTCATAAATACATATTTCACAATAATTCTATTTTTTCAACATATTTAGACAATTTTGATGATTTACGTAGGTATCAAAGTATGTATTAGTCAACTTATTATTAGATAACATTTTATTTAAGTATATTATATCTTTTCAATCATTAATCAGCGTTTATCGATATCCAAAAAATCAACAAACAACAAGCTGTAACGCGTGTTTCATGATTTAGTATAGAATACTAAATAGAATACTCTGAATACTACATAACATATAGTATAAAAATTATTTTTTAATGGAATCCTATTAAGTCTGATATTACAAGCTTAGCTGTTTACTAATAAGTCTTAAATGGCAGAAGGTAATTTCAACTGTACTAGGTCAAGCATATTAAGTTATGCATAATATGTAAAATTCATGATTACGTTTTGCTGTCGAGGGTGGTTGGTTCTTAAGTTTAGGAAGGAGTGAGCTTGGGCACAAGCTACGCTTTTCTGATGGCTCTGCAGTAACCACCTAAAATAACATTGTTTATTGTTTATTTGTGTGTAACTAAGTGTGCTTATTATACTGGAAGTATCATAACTTATTAAAATATATAGACTTATTTATAATATACTGTCAATTCATCACTACATCATTACACAGTTGAAATATTTATAATTGGAATTTTTTTTTTGTTTATCCTTGTTATTCTTAAAATATTTTTATCTCGTATCACCAAAACATTATTAGATATAATGCAAGAATTTTTTCAAATGGAAAAACATTTTACTGTACAATATTATCCGTAACAAAATATAGTGATAACTAATTATGCAACTTATAATATATCATTAATTATAATATTTACTACTCAAACTGCACCATTTAATTTTACAGTGTACATACTTAAAGCCGTTACAAACTTACAAAGTTATATTAACTACTCGGACTTTAATAGTTTAATATGTGAATATGTGAATAATATGTCCGTCAACGGTTCTGTTTAATTAAGTTAATTGTGCAACGACAATACAATGGTTGGTATAATGGTTCCTATTTAATTGGTAGGTATTGTTAAGCAATATGTGTCACTCGGGAAACAAACACGCCTTTCTCGAATATCGCTACATATTATTTTGTATATTATACCTTACTATACCAGACCGCCTACAATAATAATATGCAACAATAGCCCTTTTACCGACAGTGCAGTAGTTTATTGTTATATATTATTTTGATTATTCGAATTGTACAATGAGTAATGATGATATACGTGGGTCGTGAACTAATTTATTATGTTGTTGAGTTATATTAGTTAATTTTAGTGCAGTTGTTTGATCAATATAATATTTATAAGCTGCAGGGCTCGTAAGTTCCTAGTAAGAACACTAAAAAATGTTGAACACTTAAAAACTCTGGAACATAATATTATATTCAACTATGTTTCTAAAAATGTTCAAATATATATGCAGTAAAAAACGTTTAATTGTGCGATAAAACACTTAAATGTGAAAATAATGTAAGTTCCTACTTATTATTTTATAACTTATTATTATAAATTACTATAGCTCTTGAATTTTTTGAAACTGATGCCTATAATACCTATGTCTTATACGTATCATTTAATACGATTTAATAAAATTGATATAATATGCAAATGAATGAACATATTATGGAGATCTGATTATAACTATCCCTTCCAACCAATTGGATTTTGTTATATTATATAAATAAACTATATAATATTATTATATATTTATATAATCATAATTAATAATATTATACGAATGAAACCAAGGTCGATTTAACAATATTGACATAACTATCTACATAATACCAATCAATTAAATTTATAATGTTTTTAATAATTATAAATGTTTAGTAACTTCCAAATTCTAAAATAATATTATAAATACTTGTCAATGTAAACACTCAACATATTGTTTACATCAATTTGATGTGAAACAGGTACACTTGAACCTCGCATAAGATTAAACTCGTAGTTGTATTTAGATATTAAATCTATAGCTATGCAGGGTGGTCCATTTAAGTGTAAACTCATTATTTCGAAAAGTTTCAACTTCTTTGAAAATATTTTTTTACATATTATGTCATTTCAAAACAAAATTTCTAAAAATAAATTATATTTTTTCTTTTTATTGTAATAACTTTTTGAATGATACCATACATTTTTAATTTTATATTCTGGAGTAGAATATTATTTGGAGTATTTAAATCTATTCAAATCAAATTTCGGACAAGTAGTTCATTAGTTATAATCATTCAAAGCTTAGATAAGCGGAGTAGTGGACAACATTCTAATTCTGAGTAGGTTCCCCTGTATCACTCTATTCCGCTGCTCATCTAAACATTAAATGCTTATAAGTTATAAGTTATAACTATTGAACTGCTTGTCCGAAATTTGATCTTTATAGATTGAAATACTCAAAATAATATTTTGCTTCAGGATATGAAATTAAAATTATACGATATCTTTCAAAAAAGTAAAAATGAATGTAAACACTAAAATGGATCACCTGATATACATGAAATATTAAATAATAAAAATAATAATTAATATCTATACCTACTGTATTATTATGGGTATTAGTCATTACACTTCAATAAACTGCAGATGACTCATAAAAACAATAAATAAAAAATAGACTGTGTAGGTACTACGACTTAATTGCTTAAGCTACCTGATCAAAATAAAATATTTTAAAATGTTAGTTGATGTAGTACTAATACCTACTTAATACTCGAAATACCCACTTAAAAACAATAAGTATCTATAATTTTATTATTGTATTTGATGTTATCTTTATTGTATAATACACTTCACCCGCTAATAGTTTCTATCTCCATAATTTATCATATATATAGTTATATACAATTATAAATTCTATATGTATACGCACTACACAATTAGATTAAGGTGCACAGAAACATAAAAACTCGATTCTAATAAAATATATTATTTTGAATATAATATACTGTGGATAGTAATTTAAAATATTAAAAATAAATAAAATTATGGTTCTAAACTAAATCGTAGTCAATCGAACTATTCTTAGTTTAAATAATTAAGATAATATAGAAATTAAATGTACCTACCTATATACGTTACAACCGAGGCCGAAGAGAGGAGGCTTATATTGGGACGACCCTTTACTCATTAAAACATTCTTATAGCATATAGTCAGCACATTCACCTATTGGTGATCAATGATCACTGATCATGAATTAATAAAAAGTATTTTTCACTCATTCTTAAATAAAATATTTCAATAGAATTATAAAAAGAATATATTTTAAGTTTTAGAGTTACCTATTTAGTATTTAGACCCGAACTTTGTATTCATAAATGCATTAATATTATGCTCTTGCCTCTTGGAGTTTTTTTGTTTTTCACCAGAAAATACAAAACCAGATAGCTCCAAGCCCTCGACAGGAACAATTTCCTTCGGTTGGCATTAATTGAGTTTAAGTCATTAATTTCACTAACCACGATTCATCAAAAATATTATTATTAAATAATTAGCCCGTCCCTGATAACAACAATAGTATGTA